CTACATTAGTGTTTCTACCTCGTCTTATCAAACCCGTCAGGTTGGATTCAAACTTCGTGACTTTCGGGTTACGAGGCAAATAGGCTACCCCTATAGCCTGATACACTAGCAGAACAGACATGATTTCGAAGAGGAAGAAAGCTTAAGTTAACTTATTCGTGGGGAGATTTTGCATTTATAGATAATCGTGTGTTTGTAGATACGAAGAGTAATTAAGTTTCGATGAATCTCCTGAGATAATGTTGTTGGGGGGACATTCATTTTGTATGAAAGTGCATGAAGAAGAAATTCTTAGGTCGATCTAACCAGAAGAGGAATCCCGTTGTACTGCAGCCGTTTGGCTTTTATACGACGTTGAGATTGACGCAGTCCACGAGACCTCTTCTCTCGGGCTGGGCTTTCGTCCATAATATGATTGAGATCATCAGAGCTGGATCTCATTCCTGTAACAATCTCACGTTAATACTAGGGCAATAAGACTATGCGGCTCTAACTTACATCTTATATAGGCTCAATTCAGAAAAAAAAATTAAAAAATCTAGAAAGATATAGAATAGTTTGGCTAATTATCTTTTAATATGAAATGTATCTACTGGTAGTCCCGAAACTCTACTTGTATACGAAAAATAATTATCTTATATACCGGTCCTGCTACTTTTGCTGAAGTGTGTGTGTGTGTGTGTGTTAACGTCTATACGCAATACCGGTCCTGAATCTGAGTGATCAAAAGGATAATGTCAGGCTCTTGTCACCAAGGCTTAATGACCCAAGAGAGAAATCGTCTCCCGACCGAGACTGCGTAGGTCCGTGAGCAAGTATGGTTGGGATAATGAGATGTAAGCTTGTAAGCATGTAAGTCAAGTTACGAAACCACGTGTTCTAACCTCTCAGTCTGGGGTCATTACCGTTTAACCACACGAGGAACGGATTGACTATGGTTGTGTAATCTGGCACGTCTGATTTGGTTGATGAGCTTGATCTAACATGTTGGACGAGTATAAGGGAAGTTTGAACCATCACCGAGCAGACGAGCTGAGTCGCCTTCTTTTGGATGGCGGCTCAACACCCTCTCTCGCCTTCAATCTATCAATTAAGCATAAGTAATTCCTACTCAACTTTCTACCATCGTTCCTCACATTCAACGTATTTCCTAAACTATTCATTGCAATAGCCTCTCCTATCTTTCTTTTAACAACAGACGTACCATAATCAGCAAACCAACTCGTTTGAGACCATTCTATTTCACGCCCAGTTTCTGTCCTGTGCTCGGCCACTTCTGGCCGTTGGATCCAGCTTCCTTTACAAGCATTTTTGTGTTACACAAATCTTTGTTGAATAGGTCGGCATGACTCGCCAGCATAAGATCGACCACATGAACAAACAATCTTGTAGCAGCCGGATCTCGATAACGGGCCATATTTCCCTCTAAAAGATAGCGTAATAAAAGAAAGTACGAGAGTTTCTCTAAACACTGTTTTTATGCCCCACTTTCTTACTAATTCGCCTATCTTTTTTGAAAGAAGGCATGACGGCAAAATTAGGACACGAGAAAAGGTCTCAGCTTGTCTATCTGTGACTAAATACAGTGTAGATGGGTGACTGTTTTGTCATCTGGCCTCATCTGGTAAGGAAAGTTTATATAGTTTCCTACTTTCACTCAACCAACGTGAAAGGAACATTAGGTTCTCAATGGAAATGAAAGAGAATAAGTCTTTATCCTTTATGGATGTTCTCATAATTATAGAAGAGGGTAAAATAGGAAGAGATGTGTATAGGAAGCCAACATATGTTAGCTCTTTGGTTAATTTTCTTTCCAACCATAGTTACAAGACTAAGGCTGGAATTTTGAAGTGAATGATTATTAGAAGCATGAGGCTAGCGGATAGCGACAAATTTATTCCTGAAAAATGATTATCCTTTTGGCCTTATTAAGAAGTGTATCCCTTTACTGAGGAATCATTTTTCAGACGGAGACAATTTAGTCAAAGATAGACAAGCGGAGACCTTTTCTCGTGTCCTAATTTCGCCGATATGCCTTCTTTAAAAAAAATGTAGGCGAATTAGTAAGAAAGTGGGGCATAAAAACAGTGTTTAGAGAAACCCTCATACTTTCTTCTGTTATGCCATCTTTTAGAGAGAAATATGACCCATTATTGAGAGCTGGCTGCTGCAAGATTATTTGCTAATATGATTGATATTATTCAACAAATATTGGAGGAAAACAAAAATAGAATTCGGAAAGTAAGTATTCCGACGGTATACCTTAAAGGTGACGGGAATTTCATTCTTTAAGAAGCCTTGTTCACCAACAATGTAACTCTAATTGTCTAAATGTAGAAAGTTTCGAGACATAACCAGGTCATATCAACAACTCATGGTTTAGATTTCACTTACAGAGTCTTGAGCGAAACGAGTCCTGAAAAACTGGTCTCCGCAAGCCCGGTAAGTCGGTTGCCAGACAGTGACAAGTAATCAAGCCTGCCTAGACGCTGAAAGGCACCACGCATTTCTACTTTTCCGTGATTTTCTAACATCCTGGCTTCATGTTCTAATTCCGCTGGGGCCTCTGTTGCCACTCGATTTTCACTAAATGCTGACCCGTCACCTTTTCTATATTCTTCGTCTTCTACACCCTTTATCTCGTCGACATTCCCTTCGCTGTCATCCAATTCAACCAGGTCGGGTGGCAAAGTTTGCTTCTGCACATCGCGAGCATTTCTTTCTGATTTCTTCTTCCAATATGGCAAATGGGCCTGCTGCGTTTTGTCGGGGGGACAGGCCGCTGGTGGCCATATCAAAGGAACCAGTGCAGACGGGGGAAGAGATTCTGTCGACGATCTTGGAATACGGGACCCGAAAGGCATGCGCCATCTGCCGGGTCGTCTGGGCGGAAGGCTAGTAAGCTTGTTATGGGAAAGATCAAGGCGAACCAAGCTAGTCAAGTCGTCAAAGATGCCCGGATCTAGTTGTTCAATGCCGCAGTCAGAAAGATAGCTAAAGTCGTTTATGGGTAGGAAAAGGAATGAGTAATTATGTAATACCAAACTACCTTATACTCTATACTTTCCTAACATCCACTGCACAAAACTTGCCAGAACTGTTAGGTCTTAAGACATAAGAAGATAAAAGTGATTACTTTGTTGAAACGGCAAGTGCAACGAAATGATAGATAATTAACGAGTTTAAAAGAAAAAGAGACAGTTTCGAAAAAAAAACCATGGATAACTCAAAATACGATCATAAAATGAGTACTATGTGTTCACCCTATTTCGTTTAAAGTGAATAATATGAGATGTATTCACCCAATTTCATTAAGGATATGAAGGACTGGTAGAAGAAGAATTTTCCCACATTGATATGAGTTGAGCTGATGTTTCCATTGAATTTCACAAAGTTGTTATAATCCAGGGTGGACTGCAGTTTCGACCTCGCATCACTCTTATCAACACCCTCAGCGGGAGTCGAACCGCGACAGTGCAGGATGGGAGCTTGACAC